GCACAAGACCCAGTTGATCAGGTTGCTGCGCTGGCTCCAGTCCAAAACCAAGTTGAGGACATCGCTGCGCCAGCTCAAGTCTCAGTTGCAGCTCGCCCAGGCCCAATGGCTGTCTACCCACCCTCTTCAGGACAGCCTCAAATGATATGCATCAACCCCCAAGGTAATGATTATAATTATTTTCTAGATGTTAGAAATTACTGAGCATGCATCTTGAATTGAATCACAACTAGTTTTCAATCCACGTTTATTTTCAACTAAATTGCTTGACTTGTAAAGTGAAATTTGCTTGAAAATTTATCAGCATTTTTCCTTTTTAGCTCTAATTTATATTTTTATCTTTGGTGTTTGCGAGAAATGTGTGTGCATAATGAATACACACTAGTTTTGCAGTGTTGTCCCTCTTCATTTTTACCAACGAGCTTCTCTTTGTTTCAGATCTCTTGCTGTTCATGCAGCAGATGACGTCTGCTTTTGGTAGGGGCACTTCTATGCGTCCACCTCTACCAGAAGTTGTGCACATAACTCCGCCAATGGTGCCATTGGTATCTACATGTGAGCAAGTTTCATCTATACCTGCGGCACCTGCAACACCTGCCGCACGTACCGCACCTGCGGCACCTGCGCCACCTGCGACACCTGCAACACCTGCGACACCTGATGTGCTGATAATGGACCCTCCCCACTCAGAAGATCGGGAAAGGTCAACTTCTCATGAACGGTCTCCTTCACCTGATTTCGCGTGGATGTTTGATGAAGATCCACCTGCAGTTGTGGAATCTGTGTTGCCTGCTGAAAGGGCTCCCTCTCCGTATCGTCCAAGTTATTTTAACTATGACAGGGCTAGTACCACTTCAAGACGATCAAAGCCTTGTGAGACATCCTGGAGGGAAAAATCGTTCTTGCCTGCTGAAAGGGCTACCTCTCCGCATCATCCAGCAAGGCATTTTAACTTTGACAAGCCCAGCACTAGTTCAAGCCTCCTGGAGGGAAGACCCACAACCATCGGGTGTGAAATCTGTTGTTCGTGGCAGGCCTACGTCTCCCTACCAGTCTAGGTATTACAATGAAGGGCCTTGCACCAGTTCAAGGTCGAAGCCGTCTGAGACATTTCAACGGAAATCTAGAAGCCCCTCTCCGACCACTTACTTCGATCAGAAATCCAGCAAACGCTCAACTGTTCGTAGCAGGCCTACCTCTCCCCATCCGTCATCAAGATATTCCTGTGACGAGCCTTGCACCAGTTCAAGTAGATCAAAGCAGTCTGAGACATTTCAACGAAAATCTAGAAGCCCCTCTCCGGCCACCTCTTCTGATCACCTGAAATCCAGATATCACTCGCAATCCAATACATTTGAGGACAGGCGTAAATATGGGAGTCCCTCCAATTTTAAATTCAGTTCAAGCAATTCGTCCTTCTCATCAAATAGACGCAGTAGGAGAGCTTCAAGGACACCCTCTCCTCCCAGCTCCCGATTTGCTGAAAAGAAGAGGACCAGTAGACACCCTACTCCTGATTGTTTCAAGGACTTGGATCCCAGAGCACGCTCTCGATCTCCATCTGCCACATTCCTTGATGACGAGAGTTCTTGCTCTCCAACTTCTCTGCTTCGAAGCAGAGGGTATAGGAATGGTGAAAAGAAAGTGAAGTCACCAAGCCCTGCGTTTTTACGGGACTTTGAGCCCTCTGTGTCTCCAGGATTTTCCTTCCTGAGAGGCAAACCCACCTCTGCCAGACAAAGTGATGAGAAAGAGAGGTCCCTATCACCGGACTTTGCTCCCTCCACGAACAAGAAACCGAAAGAGGCAGACCCAGATTACTCTCCAAGCACATCACCGAAGACAGCACCCAAGAAAAGGGGGAGACCACGCAAGCATCCTCCCAAACCAGCTAAGGGACGGACTCCCAAGGCCCCTGTAACTTGCCCTATCTGCAAGGAAGACACCGCTGGGAGTTGGGCTGTAACGAGGTGTGGGCACTACTCCCACAAAGAGTGTCTGGACAAGTGGTTGCAGACACCAGGCCAAATTCTGCGTGCAAGAAAGGTGTGTCCAGTCTGCAGCCTGGACTTTGATGCGAAAGAAGTGAATCCTATCTACTTTGGTGAAAAGTAGCTAAAGATGTCCTCTTGTTTTATTTTATTTTCTTAACTGACTGTTTTTAGTTTGCTTCTCTTTTGGTCTTTT